AGGTTTTTTGGTTTGATTTCCACCAATCTAGTGGGTTGGTATCTTCTTCAATGGTATCAAACATAAGATAATTATCCAATTCATTTGTATTTGTAGTTGTTGATTCTTGTCTAGGATTATAATTAAAAACTAATAATTCTTCACTTTCTAGTCGATTGTGCAAGTTCTAAAAAAATTTTCAGGCAGTTTTAATAGAATTTTCTGAAACATTATTTGAGAGTGGTAAAACTTGTCTATCTTGAATATATTGATTCATAGCTTCTTGAATGGCTTTCTTGGTGTCAACAGTGTTTGTTTGATCAAATATTTTTAGTTTAGTTCGAGAGCGGAGATAATGAAGAGCTTATCCATTATGGTCCAGTATTCTTCTATTTTTTGGTAAATCAATTTGGCAACCTTATTTTAAGAAAACTTTTCTTTTTCAATACACATATTTAAATATTCCTGAATACTTAAAAAAACCAAACGTATATCACTCATGGTTAGGTATAATGCAGCAGAAAGCAATTTTGTAGCGGCTTCAAGTGGTTCCAGTAAGGTAAGCATGTTCTAAAAATCAATAATTTATTATATATTAGTTTATTATTTAATTTTATTTAAATTATTAGAGGTTTTGTATACCAAATTAAATATAGCAGTAATGAAATTTTTTGATTATTTTTTTAAATTAGATATGCAAAACTGATATAATAGTAATTTTACTTTTAAATTGTATTATTCATTATTATTTGGATATAGCAAACGGATTGATGAATGATTAGCAACAAGAAGAATAAGAACAGTTTCCATTTTTTGCATTTTTTGCAATATATAGTATATGCTATTTCACCTAGTTTCAACGTCCAACTCAGGCTTAAGGTATGGAATTCCTTTAAGTTTGCACAGAATACGTAAATCATCGCTAAGATGAATAGACAATTTAATTTTAGCCATTAAGTTTCGAACTTTATTTACTGAAGAATCGACTATTTCTAATCTTTTTTTTGCAGCCAAGTTAAGAACGTGGGCAGCACATCTATAATGTGAAAATCTGATATTATCAAATTTGGTTTGCAATTCTTGTGCAATTAATCTTCCACAAACAACCATGGCAGACTTATTATCTGTAGTAAGTGCCAACGCTTTATCTTGAATATTAAAATAGACAAGAAGATTATTAATGGTATCAACTATATTTATTCCTGTATGTTTATTGCTAAATGGAATAATATCTAAGAGAAAATGGCGTAATTGCCAATTAGTATCAATGTAATGAATGGTAATACCGAGAAATGCTTCAAAATTTAAAGAGATCCACATATTAGCCATCAAAGAAATCTTTTCAGAAATTTTAGAAATATCATTAAATATTTTACTATGTTTATTTTCAAATTCCTCTATAATTTTTACTTTTATGGTTTGTTTTGAAGGTATTGCATATGGGAATTGAGAAAGTTAATAAACTCTTTAAAGAATTGATTATCAACAACAGTAAATGGCTGTTGATCAATGATAATCCAGGTAATTAATTTATCATTTCTTATCTTTTGTTCCTTATTATTATGTGGATCAGTTCTGGGAAAATGAAAGGTAGTTTGACATATAGCTGGTACAACAATTTGATGTCTTTTAAGGTGTCTTCATAAAGTTGAACCTCCAGAACTAGTTAAAAAAACATCCTTGCATTTTTTTGCATATGGGTTCTCCAGGATGGTCAGGTGTGTTGAGATCGAAATGAGGCCAGACTGAACTTTTCTGAGCTCTTTTTTTATAGTTACTTTGAGATGGTGAATTAGTTAAGGTTTTCTGAGAAAGTTGGCTATTAATATCTAAGACATTATCTTCAAGCATTTCATTTTTGTCAATAGTATAGTTAATTTGTTGTTTAATTTTTTTATATTTTCTAAGTTTTGGATATAAAAAAGATTTTTTTATTTTGAATTAGTATCAATAATCTAGAAGTTAAGAAGTTGGTATGTGGATAGAATTAGAAGAATATTTAAACTTGTAGAATAATTAATTTTAGTAATAAAAGAGTTAAAATAACAAGAAATGTGATGAGTGTTTTAGAGCAAACTTTGTATATTAAATGACATTGCTAAGTTTTTTAAGATTAGAGTATAAATATGATACTTTGAAAGAGAAGATATATTAGAAGTTATAAATAGTATATTTTTTTATTAAGAATATATTGTAAAGCTACTATAATAATACTAATATAAATTTTGTACCAAGTTGTTTTAAGAAATTTGAAAGTGTAAATAGATGAAGAGGTAGAGTTGTAGTTAAGATTGGAGTTAACTTGGTTAGAAAATTCTTCTTATTTGATATTATTTATGATTTTGTAATTAAAGACTCTTCTATATATATATTTTTTATATTTGCATTATCTATATTGGATATAGGGAAAAAACTAGCAAAAAATAAAAATTTTGTAATTACTAAATGAGCTGCTATCAGTATTATTAGTACTAAAAGAGATAAAATAAGTTAGAATAGTATAGTAAGCTTAGATAAAATCAATTTTACTACTATATTTGAAGCTATATCAAGTAGAAAAAGATAAGTTGGAGTTGGAGATAAGGTTATATATATATATTGTTATAAAGAAAATATTGAAGAAGTTTGTATCTAATAGAAGTTGAATAAATATTGTTGGTAGAGATATTAAAGTCTTCAAGTGTAATAAAAAGTAGATTAAGTATGTGAGCTTCTTGTAATTAATAAATAATAGTATTTTAAGTATTAAAATAAAAGATAGTATTGTTGTTAAAAAGATAAGTAGAAATAATATAAAATTTAAAATCATGTTTAAAAAACAGATCAATTAAAAGAGTATAGACAGTGATAGAGGTTATTTTTTTTTTTTAAATTTTCCTATGATGTGTGATCCACATCTGGAGTGCAGGTAGGGATATTACGGTCCCAAAAGACTGTGGTCCAGACCAGTCTTTTGGACCAGTTTAAGTAGTTTTCAGTTCAAAATTTAGAACCAGGTCCAGACTGGTTTTTAATCAAATTATATAGTTTAATAAATTTATATTGTTATTGATGTAATGTATAATGTAAAAAGCGAGATGCAATTCATCTAATTCTGTCATCTAAAATATGTAATACATGCATATACAATGCTAACTTAAAACAATGTAATCGAAACTTATAGTCTTAGCAAAGGATATTCATTTACAACTTGAAAGATTTTAAAATTAATCAGTCGGTATTTGATTTTGAATAAAGTAAGTGTCATTTATTTCGAATTAAGAGATCTTTTATTTCAAAATCAATTAATTTTTTAAACTCTTATTTATTTCGAAATAAGTTAATTTAAAATGTCCTAATAAATTATAATTGTTTACAACAAATACTTACATATTTAAAGCAAAATTGTAAGTATAAAAAACTACCTTCCTGGATATGTATACATCTTATTTAACCAGTACACGATCTATATTTAAATGTACAAAATTTCCAAAGATGAAATTTTTTTATTAGGTGATTATTAAAAATTGAATTGTACAATTGTATTTTGATTGATCATTTTTTAATCATAAAATTGCTTATAAAACCCGTCTATAAATAATTGAATAAAACTAATTATAAATATTATTTTTAATAATTACAAAATTCCCATCAAAAATTTTTGCCAATATGAGCATTCTATTCTCAATATTTTTGCTATTTTAGTGATTTGCTCTGTCATATGAAATGGTGGGTAACTTAAGAGATGGGTTGATACACATTAATGCATATCTATTCATGCGAAAATGCATATTTCCCATCATATAGTCAGCTAGTAGAAAAATTATTATGAATTTGGCTTGGGAATCATGCACATAAATGAATTTGGCTCGGGAATCATGTGCATAAATACACATTACACAAATTCGTATACATCCTTTCAAAAAGGCACTTTTGGCTTATCTCTAGAGTACTAAAAAAAGATAATAAAAAGGCAATACATATAAACTACATATTTCAAAGATACTAATAGTGAGACTCAAGCATATACATGATTCACCTATTAAAAATGTCTTTTATTAATCGCATGAAAAAAATATATAAAATCATATAAATGTAGGATGGTGTGAGTAAAACTTGTTATAATAAATATATGCATAAAAATATTTAAGAAATTTTGAACAAAATTAGTACGATTGATTTCTAACAAAAAGATAAAATAAAATTTTTCTTTGTCTCATGAGTAGTAATTTAAATAATATACTTGAATCACGCACAGATTGGCATTATTTTGTAATCAAGAATTCTAAGATTATGAAAAAGAAACAGCTAAGGAGTAATTCATAGTTGATATCTAAAATAAAATAAATAAATAAAAGTAAAAATACTTATCGTAATAAGATCAGAACTACTTGCAACAATAAACTTGCTTCAATATATAAGGCTTTATTTTTTGACTAAAAAAAATATCAAAAAAAAAATAAATAAATAGAAAAACAACAAAATGGAAGATAACAGTTTTTTCGAAACCCACAGTGACCTATATGACAAAAATGAAATGCTTGAAGATAATGTCTTAGATATTAATAGCCAACTTTCTCAGAAAACCTTAACTAATTCACCATCTCAAAGTAACTATAAAAAAAGAGCTCAGAAAAGTTCAGTCTGGCCTCATTTCGATCTCAACACACCTGACCATCCTGGAGAACCCATATGCAAAAAAATGCAAGGATGTTTTTTTAACTAGTTCTGGAGGTTCAACTTTATGAAGACACCTTAAAAGACATCAAATTGTTGTACCAGCTATATGTCAAACTACCTTTCTTTTTAACACAAAGGTGCGGCTTTTAGAGGTGCTGGGTTAAGCCGCCAATTCAAAGTTAAAGAAATTAAAATCAAAGAGATTGCTTCATACCCTATTAAGGTTGATTACGAGTCTGAATTAAAAGAGTCTGAAGACGGTAAGCTAAATTTATAAAATTCGGTTCATTTTTTTTATCAATGATTTATTTTGTAATATATGAATATTTTACTTATTTTATAATATATTTCATAAAGGAACCATGAAAAACAAAATCTTTCATACGATTTTGTTCGATGAATATACATCTGTTGGAACTCGTAAAATAATGAGTTTTAAACGAACCAGCGATTTTAATTTCTCAATAAATTATGGAAATTTAAATGAAAATGTTTTAAAAGATTTTGGACCAACTGATATAGCTGTTGCTAAGGTTACAGGATTGTCCGATATCACCAAGAAGCATAACGATAACGGTATAGAACAACCTAAAGTAAAGGTTACCTTACAGTTATCTGATTCTGGTATTGTATCCGTAATTGATGCCGTTGCAACTTTTGAGCATCAGACTATTTCAGGTACGATTATACTATCGATAATTTATTATTTATTATATTTTTCAATTATTTATACTGAATGTGTTTCTTTTTCATGTAATGCATTTATGATAATATAATGACAGATAAGATAAGGACATTCTTTGGTGTCAATAACAATAAATCAGATGAAGCACTTAAAGAAGTACCATTTTCTGATGTGAGTTTGCAAGTGCTCGTTATATTGTTTTTCTCAATGCTAATTTAATCATTATAATATAAATACAGGAATCTGCCTCTTCGGATAATGCATCGCAACTTGTTTCAGGGGAAAACAACACACAGACTAATGTAACTGAACAAATTCAGAAAAAAATCGAGTCAATTCCATTGAATCTTGAGGTTGAATATCTTGGCATAACACCTATGGGATTTAATGAGAAAGATGCAGCCATAAGACGGTATGAATAAATTATTTTGTCATATGAGTAGTGATTTGGCCTATAATCGGTTAATCGACTCGAACTGAACAAATTTCGGTTAACCGATTGAAGAAATTCTTAATCGGTTAATCCGGTACATCCGGTTGAGAATTGGGCAATCGGTTGGCAGGATCGATGTATTATGAAATAATACAAGGAGGGAGCAAAGGTTCCGAAAAGAAAATGAATGAACATAAAAGACGAGCAAGTTGAGACAAAAATTTGAGCAAATTTCTGAGAATTTCCGAAGATAACCGAAAAGTAGAGATAGTTAATCTCAACCGATTGGCAACCGGTTGATAAAATAATTCGGTTTGGTTAACCGATTAAAAAAATTTTGTTCGGTTCAAATCACTACACATGAGATATTTTATGACTTATAAAATGGATTAATAGGTTACGCACCATGGATGAGACTGATCACCGACGTCGAGCACGTGAAGAAGTCAGAAATAACCTTGAGTCTTTTGTTTATAATTTGCAAGACTTTTTGTCGGATCAAATTGTAATTAAAGTTAGTACCGATAAGCAACGTAAAGAATTAGCAACAAAATCTTCTGAAACATCTGAATGGCTATACGAAGAAGGTGAAGATGCCCCAATAGAATCCTTACTAACGCGTCTTAATGGTCTAAGGTTTGACAACCATCAATTTTGTCTTTCCATTTGAATTTTGACAAATTTTATTAACAATTAATAACTTAAAATTATGTACTAGGTTACTTGAGAAACCAATCGTATATAGACGCGATGAGCACACTCGACGTCCTGAAGCAGTCAACGCGATTCAATCAGCCATAAATAGTACCCGTGAATTTGTAGAAAAAATTAAAGTGAATACAACCGTTGAACGGTATCATACAGACGAAGAACTTGATAAATTATTGAATGTGTGTAATAAGGCTGAGAAATGGCTTGATGAGAAACTAACAGAACAAAATAAAATTGAACCTTATGTCGATCCCGTTTTGACTACGGCAGAAATTGAAAGGATGTTACGGGAGATAGAACGCGAATTTTTAATTGTAGCTACAAAGAGACCACCGAAGAGAAAAGCAACTCCATCAGCAACTAATGATAGCGAAAGTACTAATAACGTTAATAATACCGATTCTGATCAAAAATCAACCACAACTCAAGTTGTTAAAGAATCCCCCCCTACACATGAAGAATTGTAAAATCACAAAAAATTGAAACCATTATTAATTCTTTCTGGAACAATATTTATTAATAATACATATTTAATGATATAGATAAAATGTTTTTAATAATAAATTGCATAGAAACAAAAGAGTATAAACTCTTAATCTAGACAGATAATGTTACAAATTTATATTTTAATAAATATTCTTTTTTGTTAAATCAAGGTTTTTAATGCTTAATTTCACCATAATCACTTTTGATGTCCGTGTGTGTGTGTCGTATTGTACATATTAGATATAGACTAAAGAATCATACTACATTTAATAAAACAACAAATATAATAGAATTACTACTTAAAAATATATTAATAAAAGTAGGGAAAGTGAGGCTAGGGATGTTACGGTCCGGTCCGGTCCGGTCTTTTTCCTAAAGACCGGTCCTAACAGAGGACCGCGGACCGGACCATGGTCCAGGACTGGTCCAGGACTAGAGGCGTTACGGTCCGGTCCGGACCGGTCTTGGTTTACCGGTCCAAGACCGGTCTATTATTGACCAATAGAAATTCAGAATTTCAAAACTTGGTAAGCCTGTAATACGGTACATACGTATTTTCAAATATACTTTTATAACCAACAAAAGCCGAACTCGGGTTTTAAAAGTATATTTGAAAATACCTTATATCAGATATATCTTTAACTAGAATGGCTATCGAATAATTTATTTTTAATACA